AGGAAATAGGTCCTTCAGAGTGGAACATTCTGAATGAGGTTCCAGGGGTTTGCTGATAGCCTAAGGGCTTGGCACCTTGAACATGTTTCCAGAAGACTCTCCAGAAGAACCCCCTGGTCTTTTCCTGTTATTCTCTTATGGATTGCTTCTGAGGCTTGGATTTTGCCTCACTTGACCCTACTCATCTGCAAACCATGCCCCCTTCTGAATAGGGAGGTATGTGTGGCTTTCAAGGAACATGACTTGAAGGAGAACTCACTGCTGCCCTTCTGTTCCCTAGAAGAACTCTCTTTCCTCTACCAGAATGATGAGCATAACTAGTCAAAGGAAAGCCCATTTGCCATGGACTTCCTATGTTGCTTGTTCCTTCTAGGGTCCTCTCTCAGACCCAGTTTCAGATCTCTGTGCAGAGACCTCCTATACCCTTGGCAGCCCCCCAGCTGGCCTCAGCCTGGCTGCCCCTTGAATGTAAGTCCTTGAACAATGGAATGGCTAGACTTTGGTCTGCCCAAATTTGCCCTGTCTCTGTAGATCCCACTCTGGGGAAATAGACCTTCCTGCCACAGAGTCTCTTATCTTTCCAAACCCACTGAGGGGTCCAGAAATTAGAACTGAAACTGATTTTAAATTGTGGAATGAGTCAGAGGGTTGACTCACGTGCAGCTGGGGTGGTGCTGGGGTAGCTGGAGGAGGAGAGAGGTCCCAGCCTGTTTCTAGTTAGCATTTCACAGCCCTGTGAAAACTGGCACAGCCAGACTTCTGGTGTCTTGTGGGAAAAGAATGTGCTCTGATGAACTTGAGCCTTCCAGAAGTCAACCTCAGGGAAGATGAGAAACAGACTGACATCCCTCTGATGAACAGACTCCCCTCCCTCCCATTCTCAGGGCTCTCCAAGATGGAGAAAAGGGACCTTGGGTGGGCAGGCAACCTTTGGAGTCTGTGGTGGCTGGAATAGGCAGGCATTTCTCTGACCTCACCACAGGATTTGACATGGTGGGAAGTTCAGAACTAGCAACATCAGAAGAGGAGGGTGATATGCTTCCATAAGTCAATGGAGAGTATCTAGGTACAGGGCCTTTGCTGGAATGCTTGAAAAATGGGGGGAAGTGGCTCTGTTCCCTTCACATGGGCCTGAGCTCCTAAAGGAAGCTGAGAAATCCACTCCAGGGAGGAGAGGGGTGGAGTGGACCAAAGAAAGTTGAGTCCCCCCACCCATCACCAGTTTTGCCAAGGTCTTCCAACACAAGGTCTTTTCCTCCCCTTTCTTCTAACCCTTGGGCTCACCAATCCCTGTCCCCTAGATTTTTAAGAGAAGAGCCTAAGAGTCTAAATTCTAGACAACTCCACTCTCACCAGAGGAAGCCGGCCGTAGCCCCCCACTGCCAGAGTCCTAGGCATGAGTTCTTGGGAAGCCCACACTGTGCCTATCTCTGGTATAAACACCTGTGCTCACATCAAGGCAGGGAGCGGCAGGTCCTAGCCACCACTGCCCTCTGCTCTTCCTGGCTCTGGGGCTCCCTGCCCCCAGGACAGCCAGCTGCGGCTTCCCTGTGGGCAGCGCTCCTGGGGAACGAAGCCTGCTCTTCTGCAGGTGAATTTTGCATGAGTCACGGCCTGGGCCAGGGTGGACTTGACCCCATTCAGGGCTGGCATAAGGAAAAGACAGTTGATTAGGAGATATTGAATCAATTCAGAATGTGGAAGAGCCAAAGAGGAACTCCACACACTTGGGAGTTGGGGCCAATGGCCTATATTTTAAAGTACACGTTTTAATAAAAGCAGTTCCTGACACGGAGTGTGACATTCTAAAAGATAATGACAGCGCATGACCCCCGGAGGGTTTTGCCTCCTGGACGTTTCATCAGATGGAATTTCCTGAGGATTTCTGTGGTGCTGGCGTACGCTGCAGTGTGCCATGCAAAGGCTGAATAAGCCAGTCGACATTTTTATGATCTTCAGTGACCATACATGTCCCACAGAAAATAATGTTGCCCTTCAAGCTGGCAACAGTGTTCTCATAAGTGTGCATATAGTAAATAGTAAGAATCAGAGAGATCAAGGACTAGAACTCTTAAAAGAAAACACTTATTTTCCAGGCCTTCATTTGTTGCATGCTCCCGCAGCCAGCCTGGCCTTGTGTGTCTCACACGCACGCCTCTGGGCTGTGTATCTGGTCTGCACGTCCGCAGAGCCGGCCAGCCGTCACTGTCCTGCGTGCAATGCACGGCCTCACCTATTTTACCACCAAAATAGCTCTTTTTGGGGTCAATTCCACTCCCTACACATGGGCCTTGCAAACGGGTCTAATGCCTCCAATGTGTTCGTTGCACCACTCCCATCAGGATCTTGACCCTTCTGTGATACAGTCACAGACTCTTGACCCTTCTTGACACAGTCCGTGCCCTTTCCCAGCACCCACAAGCCGTCCAGGAGCTGCTGTGACTCACTCTGCTTCTACTTGAGGGCAGCTCATACCGAGCTGCATTTTGTGCCATGGAGCGTGTCACCCACATCTCTGAGCCCCTCTGCGTTGCTGTTCCCCAGTCCTCCTGAGGCTGATCTTCATCTACTCCCATTGCTTCTTCTTAGCTCAGGGCCACTTTCTCCAGGAATCTTTTCCTACACCCTCTCCCAGCGACACTGGGTTTGCGCTTCTCCCACCTACTCCCTGTCTTCTGCCGACTCAGTGTGGAGCAGGCTACATCATTATTGCGGTAATATATATGTATATATAACATAACATTTGCCATTCTAACTCTTTTGAAGTGTAGAGTTCAATGGCATTAACACATTCACGCTATTGTACAACCACTTGTACACTATTGTACAACTATCAACACCATCCATCTCCAGAACTTTTCATCTTTCCCAACTGAAACTGTACCACTAACTCTCCATTCCCCCGCCCGCCCAGCCCCTGATAACCACCATTCTACTTTCCGTCTCTATGAATTTGCCTATTTGCATTTCTTTGTATGAGTAGAATCTGCGATGTTTGTACTTTTGTGTCTGGCTTATTTCAGTTAGCATAGTGTCTTCAGGGTTCTTCCATTTTGTACGGAGCGTGTCAGAATTCCCTTCCTTTTTAAGGCTCAGTAGTATTCTATTATATGTATCTATCACATTTTGTTTATCCATTCATTTGTTGATGGACATTGGATTGTTTCCACCTTTTTGGCTCTTGTGAATAACCCTGCTATGAACACTGGTGTACAAGTATCTGTTAAGTCCTGCTTTAAATTCTTCTGGGTATATACCCAGAGGTATAAATGCTGAATCATATGGTAGTTGTATTTAAAGTTTTGGGGGAACTGCTGTACTGTTTTCCATAGTGGCCACAACATTTTGCATTCCTTCCAGCAATGTACAAGGGCTCTAACTTTTCCCCCATCTTATATGAACAACCCTTGATGTTTCCTGTTTGTTGTTGTTGTTGTTGATAATGACCATCCTGATGGGCGTGAGAGGGTATCTCATTGTGGTTTGGATTGGACCAGGCGACACTGTGGTTGCTTCTTCAGTGAGCTGTGTAGCGAGTGGGCCGAGACATTTATAAAGGCAGCACCTGTGCCTGTCTCGGTCACCTCCTTGTCCCCCACCCCAGCAGAGTGCCTGCCCACGGTCACTATTCCCAAATGACTGACCAACTGAGGATAGATGAAATTTGGCTCAGGAATTTTTCCAGGACTCAGCATTCAAATTTTCCCCCAGTCTGGATGACCCTGACAAGAAGACATCTTGCCCTTCCTTGCTGTTCCTGGGACAGGCCTCCTGTTCAGTGGGAGAGCCCCGTAGGCCCCAACAGTTTTCAAATGTGTCCTATGAAACAAACACCAGTGTAGAAGGGGTAAGTGTTGGGCCAGGCCAGACAGAGCATGCATGCCGGGGGACAGAGAGAATCCCCTCATCCTGGGGGATGAGGAGGGCAGGCCTGCCCACCTCACCATCCAGGGCAACCTGGGGCAGAGTGGAGCAAGAGGGGCAGATCCAGTCTGCAGCCTTCGAATTTCTTTTCTGTGGGGCTTTGAAGCCCAATAGATCAGGGCTTATACCCTCTCTGGGAGCATCCCAAATGAGAATTAAAGGGGATTTTGTTAGTGTGAAAAGAAAAATAGAGCAAGATCAGGGATGTCAGTGGTGTCCATTGGCTTGGACAAGGTAAGAGAAAAAGGGATTTTATGCAAGGGAGCCCTCGAGAGCTCGCGAGGCCTTGGAGAGGTGACAGTGCTGATTGGCTAGTGTGGGCCAAGTTAAAAACAGCCACATGGAATTGACAATACAGCCAGGCCCGGTGCCCACAGCCACAAACCGTATGGTGCTCGCTGCATGATGGGAATCTCTGGGAGCCTCACAGAAGGGTCTCAAGGTGCAGCTTGGCTCCTGTGGGTGTAGCCTCAGCTCCCTGTTTGTAATAGGAGGGCTTGAACTAGACAGTCTCAAGTCCTTTCCACCTCCCCAAGTTGTAGGATCCTTGGTTGCTGCCCACTTTCCGTAAGGACATTAAATGCCTTTGTGTGACACAATGCCAGGCTTATCCAAGAGTCAGGCTCCAAGGGTCTTGACACAGGAGGGATGCATCCCAGGTGGGGCTGACACTATCTTCTGTGAGACAGAATGGCCTTTGTCCCGGTAAAGAGAGCCACACCCTGGGAACCCCAAGCCTGAGGCTGAGCGCAGGGTGCTTCAGGCCAGCAAGCCTGGGTTTTGATCCTGGATCCCCCTTTTTCAACTGAGTGACCCTTTCCTCCGGGAATGATGGTTTCGGCCTCCATGCTCAGCTCCCCACCTGTACCCATAGAGGACAGCCATGGGTGGAATGGATAGCCATGGGTGGAAGATTCCTCTCCCACCCAGGAAGGGCTGCTCCCAGAACAGGAAGGCCACACTCTGACTTCTGTGTCTACAGTCACTTCCCAAAGGCCTGAGAGGAAAGGCAGGTTTGGAAGCCTGCTGGTGGAACCAGAAGACCAAGTGGTGACTAGCACGCCCTCTCATTGCAGGGAACAGCAGCCACTTCCAAGCCGAGCTCTGTCAGAAGCACTGGAAGGACCAGACCCCCAGCAAGTGCCATAGCACCACCCAGGACTACCGGAAGGAGACCAGCAGCATGTGGGGTCTCATGGTGGTGGCCCAGCTGCTGGCAGGCATTGGGACGGTGCCCATTCAGCCGTTTGGAATCTCCTATGTGGACGATTTCTCTGAGCCCAACAACTCACCCCTGTACATCTGTGAGTCACAGGCTTGGGGAAGTCTCAGGGAGGGGGCCCATTCTCGAAGTGGCACTTGGTAAGGTCCTAAGGGGCTGAATCGAGGTCAGACCCTCGTTGCCCCACAACACAGCAGAGGAGTGCTGAGGTTTTGGGGGGGTGGTGCAGACAGATCTGGTTGCAAGGCCAGCTCTGTTACCTACCAACTTTGTGATCCTGGGCAGGTGGCTGGCCCCCAGGGCCCCAGGGTCCTCACCTGCAAAACAGGGCTAATAGTATCTGTGCCCTGGGCAGCCATGGCATTAAATATGCAATGTATGTAACCCCATAGCCCCACACCGGGCACCGGGGAGCTCCTTTACCAGCTCCTGGAACTGCTGCTGTCCAATCCTCTAGGCACAGGCTGGGGTACTTGCGTCTTCCCAAACCATCCACTTAGGGACCAGAGGGCCTCAAGGAAGGACAAACAAGGCAGATAACAAATGATCATCTATTGCTGCCATCCTTCCCTTAGAACAAACCTCGCTGAGCGTTCTCGAGGCCCACGCCCCATACCAGACAGAGCACACGCACTGGCTCAGTAGCCCCACAGCTGCTGCCAGGGCCCCCAGCATTGTACTTGCGGGGAGTTTTGGCCACCAGCATGCCCAGCAGGAATCGCTAAATGCTGGGGAGGCTTTCCCTCCTGGCGAGTGGGTCTCTCTAGCAGCTGGCTGCAAGAGAAGCAGCTTTGGTTCTGCACATCTCAGGATCTTGAGTGATCCTGGTCTTGTCTATGGGAAATGCCCTGGGTGTGGACTTGTGAGGGCCAGAGGACAGACGGGGTGACAGCTCAGGAATCCCTCAGCTAGGGGGCGAATCTGGGGCTGACCCACTCCCTCAAGCTCCCTCAGCCTCCTTTTCCTAATCTCCCCTCCAGCCATCTTATTTGCCATCTCTGTATTCGGACCGGCTTTTGGGTACCTGCTGGGCTCCGTCATGCTACAGATCTTCGTGGACTATGGCAGAGTGGACACAGGTGAGTGTGGGCAAGGATGCCCAGTCTACTGCTGGTTCCATGAAACAACCTCCCCAGGCCCCAGCCAGGCAGGGCAGAAAATGAAGCTTTAAATCCACATGCTTGGGCCTCATCCTGCCCTCACTCAGTCACCCCTGCCGAGCCTCAGACAGCTGGGACTGGGCCTCGTGCTGCCTCTTGCACAGGTCCCTGTCTGTCCTTGGGAAGTCTGGAGCAGGAACCTTGAGACTTGGGGCAGGGCCTCAGCGGTTGCCACCATAGCTGCCTATCTTGATGGTGGTATTAAAAATAGTTTTATAGTCCTTGGATTCTAAGATGGTGTTTGATTATTTAAAAAAAAAAAGATTTAATAAGAGCTCTTTTGAGGATAAAAAAGAGGCACTACATAAAATACAGACATGGAATACGATTCGCGTCATGTGGGACTCCATGGGCACTGGCAGTAAATGGGCTGTGTCTAATCCTTCTTCTGCCTCTTACCAGCTGAGTGATCATGAGCAAGTTTCTATATCTTTCTGTGTCTCAGTTTCCTCATCTGCAAAATGGGCCTAATGGTAGTACAATAGAGTTTTTGTCAGGATTAGAATATGCCTGATCTAAATGAAGAGGTTTACAGGAATGAGCTCTTATACTTCACAAAATGGTATGGACAAAATCACCGTGTATCTTAGAATGAGGAGGACATAGGCTCTATAGGCCAGGTAACCCCTCACGGAGGCAGCTCCCCAGGGAATCCTGCAAGAACTCATGGCCTTTGTAAGCTCTGATGCTAGCCTGCCTCTCAGAGGCAGGGAGAGCCAGCCTCACAGAGGGGCAGGTGAAGTGCTTTGGAAGCTCCAAGGCAGGAGACAGGGCTCCTGCCTGAGGTGCTTAGGGAGGGCGTCCCAGGCCGCTGACAGCTGCATTGAGCCCCATCGGGGCGGGGGATGGGGAAGGATTTCTGCCTTCCAGATGGAGAAGAATGCTTGGACAAGGCCAAGAGAGGGAACCTGCATGGAGTGTGGGGGTGATAGAGAAAGCTCCCTCCCACCAGCCGGAAGATGTGGCTAGAAGGCAGGTCTGAGCCAGACTTGCAGGAATGATACTCCCACCAGTTCCTGGCACGCAGATCGGAGCTTTCCCATCACACAAAGAATTTGGACAGGCGTTAGAGCCACCGTGCTGCCGGAGTCCAAAACTGCTGCTCCTGGGGGCCATCAGACCACGATGTCTTCCTTGAGGTGTCCCCTGCCTTTACTTCACATGACAGGGAAAAGCCGGGGCGAGCTTTCTGCCTCAGGGTCAAGCCATCTTTGCCCTTTCACTGGCACTTTCACTGGCACTTGATTCCTGCCTCTTAGTTGCCCAAAGAGACTCGAAGCTGAGCTCCCAGTACCAGGGAGAATGCCCAGTGATGCCTGGCATTGTTTGGCTGAGGGCCATTCTGCTACCATCTCCCTCCCTCCACGCCTACATAGTTTCTTTACAGAGAGACACAATGGCAGACTTGCAGCTGCAGATGGGAGACGTTGCTGGAAGTATCTCCTTTGGAGTCTCAGCAACCCAATCTGATGACGGTTGTTCCCTCGGGCTCCAAAGGACTATGGGGCTTCCTTTCTTAGGGATCGATAAAATTGGGAGGCAGTAGCATTCAGTGGTTAAGAGTGCAGGTTTGGACACCAGGGAGACATGGGTTTAAAATTAACCAAAGAGATCATACTTACCAACCTTGACCTTGGACCAGGGCAAAGCTAACATCTCTGATCCTCAGGTTTCTGATTGGTTGGAGGTGGGTGGATGGAGCCGCCTTCACTATTATTCCTACCAAGGGTTGGGAATAAAATAAAGTGAGTTCAAGTTTCTGATTCCTTCAGCCTGGGGATTCTCTGATTCTGGCTGTCATGCTCTGTAGACCAGCTGGCCTGGAGAGGGAATGTTGTCTTGAATCAGACTCTAGCTCATGGCTTACCTCTTCTGCATCATGGGAAGAAAGTCCTCCTGATCAGAGGCCCTCTTTCCAGCAAAATGAAATCCCACATTCATCCAGAAAACACTTGTTCCCTTTGCTGTCTTTCCAGCTGCCATTAACCTGAGCCCCGGAGACCCCCGGTGGATTGGAGCCTGGTGGCTGGGCCTGCTCATCTCCTCAGGCTCCTTGGTTCTCACCTCTTTCCCCTTTTTTTTCTTTCCTCGAACAATGCTCAGGGAAGCAGAGGTAAGGTTCTGAGAGCCCATGACTCTGCCTATTAGAGTTCAAGAAAGGGAGGTGTGGGAAAAAATGAACTGAGAAGCTTCTGCAAGTGAAGCAAAGTTCTGGGTGAAATCTAGAGAAGTTATAAGGTAAAGGACTCCTCAGAGTCTTGGAGAAGTAAGAGTGCTGGTGAATTTCCAAGAGATGGTCTCTCACCAGCCTCCCCTTACCGCATCAGCATCTCAGGCATCTGGAGGGTTCCAGGGAACGCAGTTTGGGAAACAACAAGTTCACAGTTAAGAGTCAGGAAAAGCTGAATATATGACCTGGCACAGTTGGCCCATCATGTGTGAGCCCACAGGACTGACTCGGAAGGAGACCCTTGGAGCTGAAGAGTGTGAGGGTGGGCTGAGAGCAAGCCAACTGCGGGCAGCGGGACCTTCGGTGTGTCTACCGGCCCTGTCTGCTGGGAAGGAAGTCAGAAAAGGATGAGAACGGAAAATAGAGACTAAAAGTCTCAGTGGGGCCTTGATGTTAGGCAAAGGGTATGATCCCATAAGGTTCGGGGGTGCTGCAGTGACTGGGTGACCATGCGACACCATGGCAGCTGGGTTGAGGTTGGGGAGTCAGGAAGGAGGGAAGGCTGGCCATCTGAAGAGGCCCGAGTAAACATGTGGGATGGGGCTGAGCACCAGGGCGGGGGTTGCCGGGCAGCCAAGGCAAGGGCAGGGCGATGTTCTTGGAGAGAGTGCCGAGGACTCAGCAGTGGGCAGATTGGAGGAGAAGGGGGCCGAAGTTAGCACCAAGGTTTTGAGCCAGAGCCAGAGCTCAACATTTGGCAGTGAGGTGTGTGAGATCTAGGCGGAGCAGCGGGAAGAGGGGCAGGGGTGGGAGGGCCTCTGCTTGGCTTGGGGAAGAATTTCAGAGGTTGTCAGTGCATCGTGGTGGTTTGGGGTTCAGGCACACCTGCGTCTGGGTCCAGATGCTAAGTGATCTTGGGCAAGTTCCCTTGTTTCTAAGTTTCCTCTAACGTACTGGAGATAGAGCACCTGTCTCAGCGGAGGCTGTGAGGATAGCTGGTATGGGTGGATGGCTGGGCGCGGCGCCCAGCGTGGAGTAAGCACTCAGTGCGCAGGGACTCCCATGCCTGGTGGTGGGTTCCCCCAGGGAACTCTAATGGCGTCAGAGCTCGGGAGCCTTGCACACCGTGGGTAGGGGTTCACAGCTGCTGCTGATGAGTTCACAAAAAATAGGCAAGCTCACTGAGGTGGTATGGGTAGAAAGTGTGGGCCAGGGTCCAGGATGGAGCCTTGAGCAGGACTCAGCTTTGGGCCCAGAAGGAAGCAGAGACTCTATAGAGGAGACAGTAAGAAAGAGCTGGAAACAGAGGTCCTTCTAGACCAGTGTATCCCAGAAGCCTACGGCCCCTGGAATCTGAGGATGGGGAAGAGGTGTAGCCATGACAGACAGACAAGGGGTGAGATCTGATTGGACACCTTTTGGCATCAGGCAAGGGAAAGTTAGACATGAATAACATGCCCAGATGAGTCTCTGGAGGCTTTGGCACGGACGTGTCCCGGCCGGCAGCCATAGCACAGGGCCCATGGACATGCAGGTGGCATTTGCTTGGAGAGAGCATTCTCTTCGCACCCTCCCACACACCTGGGGATGCTCAGTGCTGCTTGTCTCTGAGCCAGCGAGACCAGACCAGAAGGGGCAAGGGCACAGGGAAGGGTCACTACAGGGAACCTGGGCCTTAACATTCTCCGCCTCACTGCCCACAGAGGTCTCCTGCCATAGTGGATGAAGCAAGGAAGATGGACGATGCCAAGCCAAGAAGTTCCCTGATGGATTTCATTAAACGTAACCAATGGACCCCACCAAGCCCTGGGGCGGGGTGGGGGACTGCTGGCTTGAGCTGAGGGTCAGGGGGTGCCCCAGCTCATGTGATGTGGTGTGTGGTAAGTGGCAGTAGGCGCAGGTGGTCCCATCTCTCAGGAGGGGTTCTGCCAGGAGTCCTGGTGTCTGCTTCTGTGCAGGTTCCAAGAGACTCAGATGTAAGCAGAGTCGGCCCCACCTCCCGGCCCCGGCCCCCGTGTTCTCTCCCCTCCTTTCACACAGAGGTGGCTGTCATGTAGGGAGGAGTTTCCTGGCATTAGCTCCATTTCTAGCCAGGCTTTGCCTGGTATCTTCTAGGCACACCCTCACTTTCCTTAGCCCGTGAGCATGTCGAGTGGGAGTTGGGCAGCTGCGTGCCCCCGGCCACTGAACATCTCGGTGCCTTAGATCTGCCCTGAGGAAGACAGGAGGGCTGCCTAGAGGAGGAGGAAGGGCAGTGACTAGTCCCAAGGTAGCCCTGTGATGACTGCCATGAGGGCCCAGCCCTGACAGTGTCTGTTTGCAGGCTTCCCCCGTATCTTCCTGAGGCTGCTGATGAACCCACTCTTCATGCTGGTGGTCCTGGCCCAGTGCACCTTCTCCTCGGTCATCGCAGGCCTCTCCACATTCCTCAACAAGTTCCTAGAGAAGCAGTATGGTGCCTCCGCGGCCTATGCCAACTTCCTCATTGGTGAGTCCTGGAGGGTGGGGCTGCTACAGGAACTGGGGGACCCTGCCTGGGCCCTGCCTTTGGGAGCAGCTGGACCCTCCTCCACTCATCCAGGGAGGGGCGAGGTCAGACCGGACACAGACAAGAGCCAGAGGAAAGAATTTTAAGGACATTTTTCCTGGTTAGTGTTCTAGAATGTTCTTGGCAGATCTCTGGGGCCCCCATCATTCCAGGCAGGGATGGGTGGAGGCTAGGGTCTACCTTCCGCCCCGTCAGAGGGACTGGAAGTCTGAGAGCCTCCCAAAGGCCCTGACATCATCAGGGGCAACAGAGGAAAGAGAAAAGCTAGAATTTGAGGTTAGGCAAAATGCCTTGCGTTTTTTTTTTTTTCCTTCTTCACCAAGGAAGTGAATATGTTCACCTGGGTAAGGAATATGCAGCCCAGTGATTCTCCACCCTGGCTGCACTTTGGGATCCCCTGGACAACTTTAAAAAAATACAGATGGCCAGGCTCCATGCTCAGTCCCTGAAAGCAGAGCCTCTGGGGTGGGGCCCAGCACTGGTGTTTTGTGCAGCTGAGGTTGAGAAGTACTGATGTGGTCCTACTAAGCACCAAAGTGAACTACTGAGCCCAGTCTACAGGTGAGCCTGGCCATGTGGATGTGGCAAGGTGGTCAAGCCCTTGGCCGTGACCTCATCCCTTTAGCCTTCAGTTCCCAGCTAGCACATTAGACAGGGCACCACCGTGTGACCCATGTGGTCACAGTGAGAATGCAATGAGGGGCCAGGTAATGAAAGGTGCTTAATAAATGAACCGTCAACCCACCTCCCTCTGGCTGCAAGGACTCACTTGTTTCTTTATTCTTTGCATAAGCAGGGCAATGTGCTAGATGTGCCTGGCAAATAGTAAGCGCTCATTTAATGTCAGCTAGTACCATTGCAATTGAATGTATCAAATGTTCCTTCAAGGAGCCATGCCCCTTGTCCATAGTTCAGCCAGTGTCGTGGTCCTGCCCCCACTCCCAGTCCTGTGCACCCAGACAGCTTCTCTTTTTCTGTAGGTGCTGTGAACCTTCCTGCTGCAGCGCTGGGAATGCTGTTTGGAGGAATCCTCATGAAACGTTTTGTTTTCTCTCTGCAAACCATTCCCCGAGTGGCTGCCACCATCATCACCATCTCCATGGTCCTCTGCGCCCCACTCTTCTTCATGGGATGCTCCACCCCCACTGTAGAGGGTGTCTATCCCCCCAGGTAATGGGAATGAGAGGTGAGAAGATCCCCTTTGCTGAGGCCAGAGCCTGGATCTGGCTGCCATTGTCTTCCTTCCTGCTTCCTCCACTCTCTGCTCTCCTTTTCACTCTTTGATCTAACCGTTTATGTGGCAACGTAGAAAATGAGGTCTTGAATCATATGCTCAGTTATAGGAAGAAATGAGAGGGTTCTAGTGGGCCACCAGCCATTGGGATCAGGGCTCTGTTTTTTTAAGGAGCACCAAAAACTAATTAGTTTGGTTTCAGGGTGAATCTGTAGGGCCACAAGCCTCAGGAACCAGGAAATAAGCTATGTTTAGCATCCGCTCTGTGCCGGCTACAATTACAAAGTCTTCTTGAGCTGCTGAAGAAAGATGAGAGAAGGGGACTTGAAAAGATCTGGGAAAGAACAATGAAAGCAATGGCAGAAACCAAAGATTAGGGCAGGTGAGGAAGAGGGCAGGTAAAGTATACCTGTCAGATGGCATAAAGCAACCTGGCTCCAAGTTTGAAGTCTGGCTTCATGTTCAGCAAGAGCTTTAGGGGCCCGTGAGGGGAGGGTGCTGAGCAAGGAGCGTGTACTTTCTCCTGGGTGCCCCTTCCAACCACCTCTTCTTTTAGGTCTTGCCTAATGAGATTGCAACACTTGGAGAAACTACCTTTCAGCGCTCGTGTTTTCTCTTTTTCTTTGAGATACCCTCTTTTGTCTTTGGTGGGTGAAGGAGAGGAGGGGTATGAGGGAAGGGAGGATTGCTCGGGGCAAACCCCCACCCGGTTTGTATTGTTCTGCAAGCTGACTATGGATTGAGAGAAGCTGAGAAGACTTTGAGCCTTCAGGTGGTTCTCACTAGGAGCCTTTTTATTTTTTCAAAGATTTATTTATTTAGGGGCGCCTGGGTGGCTCAGCCAGTGAAGCCTCTGCCTTCAGCTCAGGCCATGATCCCAGGGTCCTGGGATCGAGCCCCGCATTGGTCTCCCTGCTCAGTGGGAAGCCTGCTTCTCCCTTCACCCCTCCCCCTGCTTCTGCTCTCTCTCTCAAATAAATAAATGAAGTCTTTTTTAAAGATGAAAAAAAATTTTTTTAAAGATTTCATTTATTTATTTGAGGGAGAGCACGCAGGGGGAAGGGGGAAGGAGATGAAGAAGGAATCTCTTTGCTGAGCGCAGAGCCCAACTGAGGGCTGGATCCCAAGACCCTGAGATCATGACCTGAGTCAGATGCCTAACTGACTGAGCCACCTAGGCACGCCCCCAACCCTGTGGGGAGTTTTTAGCACAGGGCTTTGTCCTCAGACTGGGGTGAGTTCTACCACAGTGCTTTGTAGCTGGTGAAAGTTACTTTTCTAATCTTCAGTGTTCTCATCACGAAAGGAATATGATTAATTGTCGAATTGCCATGATGGCAGCATGAAAACTCTTGGGCACCGTGCCTGGCACATAAGAGATACCCCATTAATGTTAACCATCAGCAGTGTAATTCTTTCAGCAGGGCCCTGATCTGTGATTTGTCAGCCTATCCCAACCCCCCCACCCCGAGAACAATCATGAATGTCAGATGAGGAAGAATGGTGGGAATGGTGAGATCAGCCGGTGAAAGCCCCTGGATTACAGTGCAGGGGGAATGCAGGGACCAGGGGCCCCAGTCTTCCCTCACCCCAAGCCCGGGTGGAGGAGGCGTGAAGGGAAGTATTGCCTGTGACTTTGATGTAGCATCTGCCATCTCTTTCACTGGAGTCCTGGTTGGTTGGTTGGTTGGTTGGTTGTCTTAATGCCCCTCTGCAGTGTGGGGTTTGCTGACCACGTCCTCCTGGCAGCAGTCGGTGATGCCGTGAGCACTGACCAAGCCGTCAAGTCACCATTGGCTCCAATAGGCATAATCCAGATCCCAGGGTGGCGCTGGCCCGAGATAAACAGAGACACCCAGGCACACTAACCAGGCGGGGAACTCACACTGGGCTGGCGTGGGGAGGTTTTTCTTTTGGTCTTGCTTTGTTTGATTCCCCATTTCCTGTTTTGCTGGCAGGACATCAAGTTCTATACATCTGCAGTTTCCCTCCTGCTACAGGCACTGCTCGTGCCCAGATTCCGTCTTCCACCCAGTGTGCGGAGACAACGGAGTTGAGTACCTCTCACCGTGCCACGCCGGCTGCACTGGCATCAACATCAGCTCCGTGACCTCCAAGCATCTGGTAAGGGCAGGAGAGGCCCCACGGGGGTCTCTGTGCTCAGCGCAGGCCCTCGCAGACTGCTCCTTGGCACCAGGATGGGCAGAATGCCACCCAAGCCACACTCGTTCCCAGCCTCGTGGCCTCTGCGCCACACCCGCCCTCTCTCCACCTCCCCTTCCCTAAGGTCATGACCAGATGCCTACAGCCCAAAGTCAATTAAAGATTGGCCAATGTTCAAAAAAATTCACATTCCTGAGGCCCAACAATGCTCAGAGCAGAAATGAGCCAAAGCACTCCTTCAGCTGACGCCTTTGAGTCTCATCCTGACAGATCCTGCATCCTGGCTGTGTGGGAAGCCACAAGAACAGGCCCAGAGGAATTGAGAGCAGGGGGTCTTCTATGATCAGAACCTGGAAGCGCGATCTAGGGCATTTGGTCGAACCTCTCAGCCCTGACGTGTATATAGCCTTACAACTGGTCTGAGGTCATGCAGCTACTTGGGGGCAGATGTGAGACTAGAACCCAGGACCCTGCCTCAGTCTGGGGCACATCTGTTCAAGGTCATGGAACTCCTGGCCACCAGACTTGACTTGTGCAGCCCACTTTCACTGGGTCCACAAGGTGAGGTTCTACCAGCCCTCCAAGGGCTAAGGCTCCTGGCTTCTAGGGTCAGCCAGAAGCAAATCAAGCCGAGACACATATTCAGTTATTCAACAAATACTTAGTGACCAGCCAGCACAGCCACAGGTGTGAGGTCTCAGTGGTGAACCCATCAGACAAGGTCCCCACTCTCATTGAGTTTTCATTCTAGCAAATAAATGTACAAGGTAATCTTAGAATGTAACCCATGCTGCAGAGAGACTAAATGACTAGCCTCTCTAGTTGCTGGAGGCCTCCCTTAGGAGGTGACACATTAGAACTGAACAACCTGAAGAAGAAAACCCTAGGAAGGCCTGGAAGTGAAGCCTTCCAGGTAAAGGAATGGCAAGTGCAGGGCGCAAGGACATGAGAGAGCCGGGCACAGGAGAAAGCTGAGAAGACCAGGGTTGGCGCTGAGAGCCATGCCACACCCAGGCCAAGGCTGGGCAGGCTGGGCCTAGGAGCTAGATGTGCCTTTTCCTGAGAGCAGTGAGAAGTCTGTGCAGTTCTGCTAGAAATGCCCTAAGGAGAAGAACGTGCCTCATTCCCTTAAGCCCGTGTGGAGGCCATGGACAAGGCTGGCCGCCACTTTAGCATCCTCCTCCAAGAGGACTGGGCAGGACTGTTCTCACAGCCACTTTCATGGGCAGAGGGAGGACAAAGAGGGCAAACAAGATGGTCTCTCCATTGTCTTCTAGTCAGAGGAGTCTGTGGTGGCTTCTGTGGTTTTCTTATTTTTATTTATTTACGTCTGACTCATCTACTTCCAGAAGTTATCTTGACAGGTTTCCAAAAACAGCACAAATCCATTCTCAAGAAAAGACAGTAGATTATAAACAGAAAAAACATATGTTAAAAAAACGCAGACTGAGAGAAATAACAACTGTATTGTATATGACTTATTTCTGAGCTTCCCAGCAGCCAAAATAAAGAGGGTGCATAGTTTCTGCCGTCTGCCGGAAGGAAGCCTACTAGCTGGTTAATTCCAGTCCTAGCCTTGTAACTGCTGGGACATTGAAGCGGTCACAGGCTAGTCCAACAGATGCTGTGAGAAGAAAGGCAAACACCACCTGACATGGGCAGTGGCCCCCAAAGCCAGTTGTATAAGAGTGCTGAACCCTATGAACCATATGAACAGACCAGAGCCAGGGACTCTTTCCCTAGCGTTCTTCATGGCCAGGAACTCCTCTCAGGCAGGAAACTCTGGCAAAGGCCTGACTGATGGAGAGCTTAGTGGATTGTGCTGGGTTCCCACTGATGTCTCCTATTTGTACGTTCTTGCTTTCCCTGTAAGAAGCACACAGACAGCAAAAACAAGCACCCATAAAACCATAGTGGCTGGGCACAGGGCAGCAGGAGAGAGCCCTCCCCTCCCCACCCCAGTCCCCTGCTGGGTAGGCCCTGCCTGGCCATGGGATCCTGCCTGTCCTTGGAAGGGTGGAACTGGGGAGGGGCCCCGCCCATGCTCCATGACCTGTTTCCGTGAAGACGGTTTTGATGGCCCAAACAGCGGTCAGAGGTGGCATCCGTGGGGCACCTCAGAAACCTCACCAGGTCTGCTCTCCGGCCTCCACATGCATCATCGCCCAACTCCCCAGACCCAGGGGACTCTCTGCCGGCCTTTGAAGTGTGTGGCTATGCAATGATGACTGCAGATCTCCCCCTCCCTCTCCTTTCCAAGACGTATCTGAACTGCAGCTGTGTGACCGGGGCGTCTGCTTCAGCCAAGACGGGATCGTGCCCCATCCCCTGTGCCCACTTCCTGCTCCCAGTCATCTTCCTCATCTCCTTCGTGGCCCTCATAGCCTGCATCTCTCACAACCCACTCTACATGATGGTTCTGCGGTGAGTGCGCCTCTCCTTCCCCCGCGCTGCCTGCCCTGCCTGCCGGATTCTGTCTCTCCTCCTTTCCTGACACCAACAGAGACCCCATCCCCAGGAGGGCAGAGCCACAAAGGGCTGGGCCTCGAGGAAGCCAGGCTGCCTGGCTCCATACTGTGGACATACCTGAAGATTCACTTATGTTTAAATCCTGAAAGAACTAAGAGGAAGGAAGAGAATTCAGGTAGATGCACAAAATCAAGATGAAACAACAACAACAACAAAATGTGGAAAGTTCCAGAGACAGAATGAGGGCTTTGAGAAAGGATGAAAATAAGAAAAGCCCAGTGTGCTAGGAGCCAGGACCAAGTTCTCAGGTCAGAAGGGAGAGGCTGGCCAAGGTGGGAGGGGAGAGCAGAGGTGTCCCATTACGGTGGCGGTGGAATGCCTCTGAGCTTTTGAGAGGGAATTGACCCTTCCTTCACCTCACCCTCTGCCAAAGAGAAAACAACAATTCAACCAAGTTCACCTAACCCACCCTTGCCTGCCTTTTTTCTGTCCTCACCCTCCTTGAGAGCAGAGAGGGAAAAACACAGGACCTGGATGTCTAGTGCTAGGGTCAAAGACCCAGCTCAGCCGTGCACTGGTTGGAAGTCCTGGGATGTTGCTGACCTCACTGAGTCTCAGTTTCCTCATTTATGAAAAGAGGTTCGTGATATTGACCACAAGGGACTGGTGTCAGGATTATCTGATAAATATAAGGTACTCTATGTATTGGTTAATTATCACTGTTAACCAAATTCTAAGAATTATTAACAGCTAGCTAGGTGCCAATGGCCTATTTTTCCCAAAAGGCTAGGAGGTGAAGAACAGAAGCAGCCATCTGTCAGGGCCTGGGATTTTACCCTGTTGACAAGTTAGCTTGCAAACTACCAAGCTCCTCTTCTTGTTACTATTTCAAGAATGCAGGCAGGAGATAGGAGACTCGTGGTTCCAAGACAAAGGTCTATTACTCACAGGTACATGCAAAGGGCAGGAACCTCGCATCATTCATCCTTGTGCCCCACATCCCACGGGGTGACCTGGAGGACCCAGGTGTATGCTTCCCACACAGTGAGCTCCTGTCATGGTAAGGAACACTGAGCTTGGGAAAGCCACCACCTACGTAGACCAAGCCTGCTCTTGGTCTAGCATAAGGTTTTACCCCATGCCTCTAGGTGGCTTACTGCAACCACAAGCCTGAGAAGTGGCCCAGGAAAATAGTAGTCAGAATTTTGTGTTCTTAGCACATTCCACGGGAACGGGTGGGGCTGCTCAGAGCCCCAGCATGTTGCCCTTCCCGACACCATCAGCACCCTCTTTCTGTCCCTCCCCACCCTGTGCATTCCAAGCGCCAGTGCTTTCATCCAAGACCTTGAGTGGGGTTACTTCTTACACCTGGGCCAGATGGGCCATGATGGACCCTGTAACCCCAAGAAATATCATGGGTGGCTATGACGAGGAGAGGTAACAGGATAAGGACATCTCACAGGGAAATTCCTGAGCAGCAGGTAAGGGGCAGTCCCTGTCAGTCAGCCTCCCAGAGGGCTCCATCAAGCCCCAGGGCTAGGGAAGCTGTGGAGGAAGAGCATCCTTTCAACCACAGGTTGGGCTTTCCTAGAAAACCTCTCTCTTCTAAGTCTGATCAGGGGCTGGAGCGAAATGGAAGAGGCCCCAGGATCCCAAAATGGTTTAAAGATAGATCCCACTGGGAAAGATGAGAGAATGGATGCTATTTAGTGTGAAGAAGGTGAGGCTTAAAGAGGACCTTGTAGGTAACCCAAGTGTTATTTGTACCCTGGCCCCTAATCAGGTGTGGAAATACAAGCTGGGAGAAATTTGGAAGGAGACAGCGGGCCAAATGCCAGAGTTAGTTCACAGCCGATGAGGGCAAGCACCGTAAGGGGCTCAAGCCGTTCATCAGAAGCCAAACTGGGGTACCCAAGCCACGTTCAGTCCAGAATCTAGGGGAGTCTGCTCAGGGACAATGACCAGGACTATTATGAACTCGGGCCACTGGAGGAAACTGTGGGCATAAAGGGAGTATCTACTAGATGGAGATTTGAGGCACCTTTCACAGGTGGGGGCTCCCAAATGGGTGCCTCAAGCCCATGAGTATTTGTTTCACTCAGCCATCCTTCAGAGGACCTGGAAGAGGGCCTTTTTCCATGTTGCTAGCAGGAGTGTGGGGCCGGAACAAAATGTGTGCAGAGACCTGGATATTACTTCTGAGTTCCCTTCCTTGATGTCTCTTCCGCCCCAAAAGCCCTTCCCCCATGGCACCCACCCCCCAGGAGTGTGGGTGTTCAGAGCACGAGAAGCCTGGTGCCTCTGCAGGCCACCTCCTGGCTCCCCACCTTGTGGATGGGGTTTCCCTCTCTGCCCCCCGCCCAGCTGGGATGGCAGGGCCTGGCAATAGCACCGCCAGATAGCTTCCCTGTCTCTCTTTGAATCTCCTTCCTCAGCTGAACACTTGTCCTCTCTTGAGGGAAGAAGGGTAGGGACAAGACCAGGTCTTTCGTTTGCAGGACCCAGTGCAAATTGAAAATGAGAGGCTCCTGGTTCCAAAATTATTAAGAATTTCAATACAGCCACAGCAGAACATTAAATCCAGCCTGGGGCCTTTCTGAGGACAGGGCCCTGGGAGGCAGCACAGGCCACACGCCCACAAAGCTGGCCCTAGGTAAAGGATTTTTTCAGTTGCACACAGAAGCCTAGGGCCCAGGAGCCTTAATTACACTTTCATCAGGGCTGTCTTTATTGCTATTCACACTTCACAGGAGTTGTTCAGACCTGCTGCTGTGAACACACCCTTTCCCATCCTTCTCTCCATTCCCAGCCTCTTCTGCCCTCTGCCTCTTGAAGGGGGCAGGGGCAACCCTAAAAACCACAAGACCAGAGGCTCTCAAATTTGATTGTGCAACAGAATCTCCTGAAGGGCTTCCTAAAGCACAGATGGCTGGGCACCACCCCAGGGGACATGATTCTTAGGTCTAAGGTAGGGCCCGAGAATCTGCATTCCTAATGAGTTCCCAGGGGGCTCATGCTACTGGCACAGCAACCACGCTTTGAGAACCACCAATTCCGACAACAGGAGCACTCGGCCGGGGTGAACCCAGCCAGCCAGGTGGCTGTCTGGCCATTTGAGGGGAGGTTCTGGCTGGCTCTGTGGCAGGCTGCCCCTGACTGAGCCAAGGCACATCCCGGAGTCCTCTGGCTCCTGACTCTCCCTATTTTCCTTTTCAGTGTGGTGAACCAGGACGAAAAGTCATTTGCCATCGGGGTACAGTTCTTGCTGATGCGCCTGCTGGGTAAGTGTCTGAGATGCCCCCTTCCTTCCTGAGGAGGGGCTCCAGGGCATGGGAGGGCAGGGCTGCCAGGGGCAGGCGTGGGGGAAACCCTGTCTCATCTCTGCTGTAAGGAGAGGCAGTGCATCATCAACACGTCAGCAAAGGCCAAGACCCTATATGGGCGGTTTCCCTGTTACTTGAGGTTAGGAAAGATTCCATCTATGGCATTAATTCCAAGCAAAACTATGTAAGAAAAATGAAAAGTGGACACAGCTGAGGATACCTAATAAAGAATTGAACGCAGGTATTTTTTTTCATCTTTTTCCAAGAACTGGCTGTAGGAACAAACCTCTGCATTCCTGTCCCAGCCAGAACAGCAGTTGAGCCCGGCCCTGGCTTCCCTCCCACTTTACAGAACTCACTCCTCCTGCCTCTATTCAGCAAGTGTTTCCCAGTGTGGGGCCCTCTGCCGGCAAACCCAGCCTACACTCAAGCAGCCCAGAGACCACGGTGAAACAGAGCCCTGCCTGGGGGAGCTGGGAACACCTGGCCCTCTCCCTGGTGGCGTGGCTGGGGGGGTGGCTCATGTGTGCCCCTCGCCCACCCTCTCTCAGAGGCTCAGGCTGGACCATGCCTTCGCAGCCCATCCAGGCCATGGCATGCAGACCCTTGCAGGGCCTGGTAAGCCAAGTAAAGGGACTACATGGAACAGAGTATTGATTCAGGATCCGGCGGGTGCACACAGCAGCAGGGAGCATGGCAGCCGCCTGGGAAGGACTTCAGTCACTGTTAGAGGGTCCTGGCTGGCCTCCAGTGCTGAAATCCCTCCCTGCAGAGCCAGCCATGCCTTATCTGGGAGCCAGGCTGCACTTGGCCCTCCAGCAGCTTCCCTGATGGTTCTGGGCTGTGTTGGTGATGTCCCTCCTGGGGCCTGCTGAGCCAGAACCTTTGCAGGGCCATCTCCCACGGAGGTTGGGTGGGGCATACAGATGATGATTAAACTAGTCTTTTCCACGGGATTTCTCAGCCTCTGGTTCCTGGCTGCCCTCATGCCAGCACCACCACTTCAGAACCTGTTGCTCGGGCCTGTATTACCAGCATGGAGGACACAGGGCAGAGGGCTCTGCCATGTCCTGGTGGCTGAGGTATGGCCATCATCACGGCTCCTTCTTACCAAACAGCACTCATGTGTAACTCGCTCTGAGACCTGTGCTGGGAAGGAAGCCCCGCGTTGCACCCAGCGCAGCCAGTGGCCCGGATGGGCCCTGAAAAGCTTCTCCCAGCCACCTGGGAAACAACCACTGTCCCACCACTCATGGCACCTGCCACCTTTTTTTGTCCCTTGAGCTCAGACAACTCGATACGGGATCACAGTTAGAAAATCCAGGCTGGAGGCCTTCCATTCATCACCCAAGAACGCAATCACACTCTGGGGTAGAAGGCAGGATTTCCCATGGATAAAACCCAGCAAGTTTAAAATTACCCACCAGGACTTGGCCAGTAATGTTTCTGGAACTTCGTTTACTACGTAGGAATTTTTTATTACTATTACTTTATTACTATTATTTTATTATATTATATTATTACTATTAGTTTACTACTATTATTTACTATGTTGGTGGACAATCCCCATGGCCAGTTTCCATGCCCTGCTTAGCCGGAGACTCTGAAGTGAGCAGGGTCTGAGTAGAGAAGCTGGTTCTCAAACGTTCCCACTTATGGGTGGAGCCACAGGCAGATCTCCTCTTTCATTCCTCCTGAAGCAGCTTCTCTCAGGATCCTCCACAGGGTTGGCCAGCCTGTTCTGAGCACAGTGTTTCAGGGTGTGGATCCTGGACAAATTCCTCCCTAGTCCAGTGACTGCCTAGATCTGTAGCTAACAATACAGGGGTCATTCTGAATACTTAACAGCAGGAAGGCCTCTAGAGCCTCTGCTAGATCGGGTTTCACCATTCAACTGTGGGGAAGTTCAAGGGGCTGGGGGAGAGACTCTGAGCAGCCAGGGTGTCCGGGGTCTTCCGGGGGCATTGTCTAAGGCAGCAGGCAGCCTGGTGTCCTGGAAGAGCATGGGCTTCGAGGAAACAAGGGTTCGAAGTCCAGCCCCGACCCTCTTGGTTCTGAGAGTGTGAGCTAGCCATGCCCACCTTCCTCCTCCTTAGAACGAGGGCACCCACCCACCTCCAGGCCCTGTCAGGACATGAGGAGTCATTGCCCTCCAGAGACCCCTGCCACACTGTGGAAGTCAACATCTCTCCACTTGAGGGCCAATCCAGTGTGAGAACTGTGTTGTCGGTCTGAGTTGGCAGCTAGGTGACCTCTGTGACTCACTGCCCTGAAAGGATGGCTCAGGTCTCTTTTCTCTCCTAAGCCTCTAGGGAAAGAGAAATTCAGGCTTCCCAGAAAGCTGTTTGACTGTGCAAAGGCACTGCAGTTCCCAGGGGTGGGGCGGAGCCACTCTCATTCATGGGAACCATGCAGGGGTACTGGGGGCAAGGACCTGCCCCCACCCTGCCAGGCACCTCCACCTGCAGCTCTATGTAACCTGGGCTTTCTGAACTCTCTTCCCGTGGACACCAGCCTGGCTGCCCTCTCCAGCCCTCTACGGCCTCACCATCGACCACTCGTGCATCCGGTGGAGCTCGCAGTGCTCAGGGAGGCGTGGGGCCTGTGCGTACTATGACAACGATGCTCTCCGAGACAGGTGAGGGCCCTGCATGCCCCCATTGCCCGGGTGGTAATGGATCCTTCCCTGGGCTGCTGCCCTTCCAGATGGCCCTGACCCTGGGACATGGGCCACGGAGCCACCGCACCCCCTCACTGGTTCATCTCCTCCTGCCCCCCAGGTACCTGGGCCTGCAGGTGGGCTACAAGGCACTGGGTGTGCTGCTGCTCTTGTTCATCAGCTGGCGGGTGAAGAAGAACAAGGAGTACAATGTGCAGGAGAAGGCTGCGGGCCTCATCTGACCCTTGACCCTTGGCCCAGCCACTGCCTGCTCCAGAAAGTGGACCCTGCCCCTCCACAACTGTCTGTATTTACTAATGTTAACATATTGTTTCCGGTTTTTTTAAATAAGAGAAAACCCTAGTCACCATTTGCCCTCTCTGCCTCCCCTCCACCCCTCTCCCCTGGCAGGATTCCTCGGGTCCATTGTGTACCTGGGCTGGATGGGCACTGGACTGGAGGGCCAGGCCTTCTCAGCTCCTTGGGAGGCAGCCCTGTGCCCAGGATCTCCTCGGTGCTGGATCTCCCAGCAAGGATGCAGCCCCTGCCCCCCACCCCAGTGTTGTGGGGAAGGCTTTCCTAAGTGGAGAGAGCAAAGCATTATCTCCCCAGAGCGAAAGGGAGAGGGCTAGGTTATGGTTAACAGCCAGAGGCAGGCTAGGGGAGGGAGGGGCTTGGCTGTAACCCCCTTTGTGTCTTGGTTCAGCATCAGCACAGAACCCAGGAGGGACTGGCCTCCTTCCCCTCAGATCTTTGCTTCTTTCCCCAAAAGGCCATTTTGGAAGCTGCCATGTTGGGGAGTATGGCCAGCCGATTCCCTCTCAGGTGCCACATATTCGGGTACCAGAGCAGAGACCAAGATACCCCGAAGGTGGGTCATCCACATGCTGTTCCTCTTAACTAGCTCCTTCTGTGCTAAGAAAGCCATACCACAGTGAAGACCCAAGGAGGGCTGTGAAGTGGTCAGTAGCCCAGCCTCCCCCACCCTGTCTGTGAGGACGAGACTGCTCAACTCAGAGTGACAGGAAGACCCTTCCCAAGTTTCCCTGGGAGCGGATGAGGTGGCCGCTCATGGGCTTCCCTGCTGGACCTCACCCTGTGTGCTGAAGAGTACAGACAGGCAGTCCGAGATGTCAGCAGAGCAGGCAGTGAAGCTTGGGGCGGGGGTGTATGTCAAGGGCTACTGAGCTGGATGGTGAGTCCGTGAAACAGAAGCCAGGGTGGTCGGCTTCTCTGGCTCCAGACACACCTGTGTTCGTCAACGTGTTCTCAGCCTCTCCTCACTGCCCCTCCAGGGCCCGGGGTCGAGCAACCTCACTGCTGTGTGGTGATGGTTCAGAATCAGATGTCCACAACGGAGGCCTTTCATCAACAAGTATTATATTTATTGCAGACCAGCTTTGTGCAAGGCAGAGCCAAACATGGCTTTCCGCTGGGCCTTCCTAGGAGCTCCCCTTCCCTCCCTCCATCCACACGGGGTCTTCTCCCGAGTGTGCTTGGTGGGCAGCAGCAGGGGAGACCCAGCACAAACCCAGAGACTGTCAATAGGATCTTGACCATCTGTGTCCCACCAGAGGGCCCTAGCACCTGGCCCTTTGCCAGACAGAGACCTGGCTCACCGCATCCTCTGGAGCAGCTGGAACTGGTTATTGCCATCCATGGCCCTCTTGAGTGCCACTCTTCTTGGAAGAACCCTCCAGAACCCTACCAGAAGCCATCTCTGGAAAAGACTCCTGTGGTGGTAAGCCAAACTTGGATGCCAGTGGCCAAACTGCTGTGAGACTGAAGTCTTTGTGAAAGTCACACTGCTACACGTGGCCTTATTTCCAAAGATCGCACTCAGGAAGGGAGGCTCCATGCAACCTCCGGGGACAGTGACAGCATTTTAAGATGGTTCTGCTTGGAAAATGGTTCCCTGCTAGTCGTCCTGGTCCTCCTCTCTGTGATATAACCAAATTCTGGAGGCACTGCCTTCAGCCGAGCTCATGAACAATGAATGCCAACCTGCAGATTCTGGAAGATTGGTTGCCCTCCCAAGGCTTTATTCTATTATGATGTTGCTATTAATATATTATAATTTTGCTACTGATATAACTTGGTTGTGAATTTGTAATGTCATCTGTATCCATCAGAAAGCCAATAGAACCTGCACTTTCTGGCCGGAGGAGGTGCCCTTGCCACAACCACAGGGGCGCCTGGCCATGGGGATCGGAGGTAGCATGACTCCCCACCCATCAGCCCGGTTCAGAGCCAGCAGCAGGTGCTTGCTGGTCCTTCGGTGAAGTTCTGCAGACTACCATCAAAGGCCCACGGTGCCTTGGGTTCATATCTGCAGGTGGAGTGGAGCACCAATAGCTCAGTCCATGAGACAGATCAGCATTCATATCCTAATCGTCACTGGTCCCTTGGTCACAGCCATCCTACCCCTCCCCACGGCAAAGCTTTTCCCCTGACGGCCAGCAGAGACTATAATGGAGCCACCTTCATTTCACTTCTAGAGCAAACACTTCTAAGGCTGAGCAAACTTCCTGGAGGGCTGGACACTCACAGAGGATGTGGTTAAAACCCAGTTTCCCAACCCCTCCAGCCAGCCCCTGGGTCTATGGGAGTGGCTCCTGTCCCAGGCCCCTCCTGTGAGGCCAATGTGGGGAGTCCCTACACCTGGGTGGTGGGTCTTGAGTGCAGCAGAACCTTGGTGACCCCCACCTGTGCTTGGGCCGCTGAGAATTCAGACTCTGTAGGCCCCTGACAGGGGAGGGGTGCCTGTTAATCGGATTCCCTGGGCCGCTGCAACCAGGAGCCAGTGGGCATGAAGAACAGAGCTCACTGTGCTGTGTTAAGTGCGTACCACGTACTGAGAGTGGGAGTCTTACTCTCCCAGCTTGAGTGTGCACAGACAATGATACAATTATTCTCTGAATCAGTTAGGTTTGGTTTCTAGCTGTCATCCAGCCAGCTGGCTGGAAGGTCAGCATCGACCCTCCTCAATGGTCTGGTCCCCAAAGACATCCACAGTCCCTTGGGTCATGCCAGTATGGGTCCTTGGTCCCTTCCCAGGCTGAGGTTCCCGACCTGCCCTGCTTCCCCCCTAGCCTGGAAACCATGCAGAGGCTAGATGCAGGCCTAGGCCCTCCCCCTGCCCAGCCCCAGGAAGCCCACCTCTTGGCTCCACTCCCTCTGCCAGCATAATCCAGCACCTCAAGGGCTGAACAAAAAAAGCCAGGGAAGAAAGGGTCTGTAGGAACTTTTTACCTCATCCTTCCTGGAATTTCTTAGCATAGGAGGGGGGAAATGCAGTGAAAATCAAATACCATATCTTCACGATTTATCCTTGGGTCTCAGGCCCTCTGGGGGTGATCCTCATCATAGCCCCATGAGGGAGGCCACACTGGTCTGAAGGCCCCATTCAAAGATAAGGAACCTGAAATTGGGGAAATCATTGTGGCCTACTTTACCCAAATGACACCTAGCTGGGTCTGGACTTAAATCACGCTGCCAGCTCTTTCTCCTCCAGACTCAGAGGCAGCCCCAGCCTCCCTACTGAGAGATTCTGAAATAGGGGGAGGCCCCTCTATTCCCACTGAAATTCACTGGCCCATGGAAGGAGGTGGGGGGATCTGTTGAGGGCTATGAAAGGGGGAAGGGAAGCGGGGAGGACCAGGTAGAACGTCCTTCACCCCCACCTTCCATTCAAGTAGCAAGAACATTACCGTGCTCATCCCACAGGGCCGGTTTCGCCCCATAGCACCATGAGTTAAAGGAGAGTCACAGAGAAAATGGACAAAGAGGAAAAGGCTTTCAAGACAAAAAGGCCCTAGAGAGAGCTACACACAGACAGACCTTCAAGGGAACACCCCCACCTGGTGACAGGTTAGCAGATTCTCGCTTAGGAAACAAAGCCACATTGTGATCTTCTCCAAGCCCTCGCAGAGGTGGAGATATACAGCTAAGCTGGGGGCTGAATCCGGCTGTCTTGGATTGTTACTAAAATATCATATTACAGATTCCCGAAGTGATGAGACTGGCAGGGGCTGTGTGTGTGTGTGTGTGTGTGTGAGAGAGAGAGAGACAGACAGACAGACAGACATAGAGAAAGAGAGACAGACAGACAGAGAAACTCTGCAAATCCAAAGGAGAAATCCTCTTTTCCAACCATAGGGACTACATACCTGGGGAAAAGGTCCATCTCCTGCCAATAGCACCCGATTCATTATAACCTTTCCTCAGAGATTAAATACGTAAACAGGCCCCAGGCAAGCCTTTGGCAAATTGCGAGAGAAAGTTTTTCTCCCATGACACACCCTGCCATTCATCCCCACACAACACAGGGGTCAACCCAGCTTGCTAAGGCCCCTGCAACCCCCCACCCCACCCGAGGCGCTGCCACATCTTGAAGTCAGTAACAGTGACTAAAATGCACAGGGATTTTGCTGCCCAGCCACTCATCCAGCCAGCTCCTCTAACTGGAATTCAGTCAGGATAGGCAGGGCCAGCCATGGTCACCGTCCCTGTCTGTCACAGGACATAACAGGAGCCCTTCTTTTGCTCACCCAAAGTCTCCTGTGGGTCCAGCTGGCTCTCCAGGGCAGTGGCTCCGCAATGCCATCTGCCTGGATGCCGGGGTCCCTCCATGTCACACCGTGCCACCAGCACTGACCAGGCAGGCCCAGAAAGTCCTCAGAGGTCCCGCACTGGTAAGTCAAGTCTGGCCCCAAGGTGACACGCTCCACCTCTGTCCCCAGCATGTTGGCTGTCACAGGAGTGGGGAAAGATAATTCCGTGAGCTCAAGAGAAACAGAAAGCAGGTATGGACAGTGCTAGAAACCTCTACCACCAGGGGTGAACCTGGGGGACATGGTGCTCTTGCACCTTTAAGCCAGCTTCGTCAGGCTGTTGGGAAGGGGGAGGTGTTTTCCAAAGGAGGCAGCTTCCATGCTGCCTCTGAAAGGGGATGATGGGATGATTTCTAGGCAAGGCCCAGCCCACAGGCAGTTTGCAGAGAGGTGGGGAGGTGGGGAAGGAAGCAGAGGAAGGGGAGCTGAGGCGGCAGCTGAGAGAGAGGCAGGTCCCAGGAAGGTTCTCTTGAGATGGGAGAGATTTCCTGGGGAGGCTGAGAAGCCAAAGAGAAGTACAGCCGTTTGAGCAACCCTGGGAAGGAGGAGGGTGAGCTGACGCGCCCTGGAGGAACCTCAGCCTGAACTTCCACCCGCCCTGGAAGGCCACTATGGCTAATCCTATCCTCGGAATGGAAAAAATGAGGCCCCCTTCTAGCTGTCACTTGTGCCTCCATTTGTTCACTTAGTACCTAATGCAGATGAGAACCAGAGATGACAAACACATGGTCCCTAGCCTTCAGAGGCTTATTAGGAGCCAGAATAAGACTGTAACAGAGGGCAGAGTTCAAGTCTATGAGCTCATTTGGTTGAGAGATCAGAGAAGTGGGTTGATCCAGGTCTTGAAGGATGGACTGGATCTCAAGAGACTATAAGGTGCAAAGACCTTCCAGGCAACGGGAAGGAAGCAGGAAAACCTGGGCAAGCTCTGAGAAACCATGGACCACGGGACCCACGAAGGAGATCAGACATAAGACCTGGAGAGGCAGCTGGATCCAGGCTTAGAGGCTCTTGGAGGGTCTTGGAGGCTGGCTTATGGCAGGCTGTGAGTGGTGGGGCCAGCCAAGTCCTGGCTCCTCAGTCAGGGCCTGGGAGAAGAGCCTCAGAGCCCCAGCCAACCAATCCCAGGAAGGTGCTCCTAGCTCAGGGTCTCCTTCTGGAGTCTATACTGGAAAGGGGCGCCTGAGTGGGCCATGCAATACCCTCAGGGGGCT